TCAACACTGTGAAGGTTTTCTCTGATTGCCAGACCATAATAATTTTGGAGCACATCTATTTTGCCATCAGTTAGTCTACCTTTACCTGACATACCCTTCCCATCAGCAAGCTTTCTTCCTTTACTAGTACTTTTGAGTCTTCGCAACCTACTTCCCACTCTTTTCTGCACATGCCCAATGCACTCCAATTTATTTGGTAGACAATCTTCTCCATATGGTTTGCTTGCTAGGACTGCATTATATGTAGATGAATCACCATCCCCAAGCATATGTTTATACTTCAGCCCTCTTGTAGCAATGGACCTTTCAAACATCCTCAGTGCACCTGCCGTTTCCATGCTGCCAGAACTCCCAGTATGATTTATTTTACAAACATGAGTTGCCTCCCATTCTTTAAATCTAGCATCACTTTGTTTCTTCCTCCACTTGATACACTGCTGACACTTGTCAGAAAGCACTTCGATCAAGGCACTTCTTGGTATCAAGGGAAATTACCGTGACAACACCATTGTGTGAAGAGTATCCTCGCTTCTGCCAGGTGCCATCAATGGAAATCCCACATTCTCCAGCATCATTTACAGTCAAGTCCTTAACATGCATAGCATTATTCATCATGCTGTCAATTGCACACTGTTTCACAACTGGCAAAAGTTTTTTGTTTTGAATTTTGCTAAAGCTGTCACGCCTTGGTGGAGGAGGCATGTTTAGAACTTTAGTAAATGTCGTCATAGCAGTGTGACCTTTACCAATTTCTCTAAAAGCTAGCACTGCTCGTACATTAATTTCATGGGATTGCCCTTCTTTTTTTGAAGAATTAAAACAATGCTTCCAATCGCATCCCACACATTGCAGTACAATGTAATGAGCAAAGCCATGCTTCTTCCTCATGTCAACATGACACCTCACATCATCAGCACAGTCAGGACATTTCAGAAGGTTTTCGAATACGCCAAACAAGATCATTAAATCAATGAATATGGTACCTTCTCTTATAGTGTCAATATTCCCCGAGAAAGGAACATTTTTTGCACTCTCGGTGCCAATTTTTGCAGATGAAGGCCCAGCTGTTTGATCACTAGGTGCGCCATCTTTTAATCTCTTCGTCGTATTCTTAGGAGAAATTCTAGGCCGTTTTCTCTTTCTGTTTTTAAGATTTCCCATTTATTTTTGAAAATACAATAAAAAAAACCAAATAGAATTTATATAGAAACTAAAACAGCTCTTTCTTAACGTGAAATGTAAGAGAAAACTAAGATTTTCGTAGATGGCTTTGAGAAGCGTGTATATGCGAACTATTACATGGCAGACAAAGTCATAGCGTTGTCAAGGCCAACCAAGGCTAGCAAAAGCAACCAATCACGGAGCAACATTCATCAAAAGACTTGAAATTACATACGCCAAAAGGACAAACCAAAAAATAATGGTTAAAAATGGATTTTGGTCGAAATTTTTCACGATTTTGGTACCTAAATGCGTTGCTAAGGCGTTGCTAAGGGTTAATTTCTTTGATAAGGTATGTTTGAGGGCATTTTTCTCACGGAGTATTATTTTTTAAAGAAAATCAACACTGCAGACTTAAACTACAATACTTAAAGTGCCAAAAATGACCAAAAAAAATTTTCGGAAAAATTTTTAAAAATTCATCTGACAAGAGGGGGTGACCACCTTAATTACACAGCTGCTAACAGCAATTACAGCAGAGCCTACATGATGTTTCAAGACGCTGCAATGAAGTACAGCGATCCAGATAAAGGCTCTCAAGTAAGCTTAGGAGACTTTACAAGCCTGTTTCCTATTCACCATTTCGATGTAAGTCATCATACCGATGTTTTGAGAAAAAAAGAGGCAAACATTAGAATTCGTTGGACCTTGAACCAAGCTTTTCGTAGAGCAATTAATGCAGGTGGCAGCAATGCGTATAACATGTTCTGCTTGGTGCTTAGCGAACGATTTATTCGACTTAATGGGATAAACGGTAAAATGGACATAGTCGTTTAGACTGTTAGTCTGATGTGATATGTTATTATTTAAAAATAATTTATAAGATAAAATAAAACAAAAATTTTTTCGACTGTTTATATACGCAAATTGTTGTGCATGTGGATCGTGGATTGTAACAACAAACAGTAGTGAAGAGCTACCAACTCACATCTTTGTGCCTTTCCAAGACGCTGCAATGAAGTACAGCGATCTAGATACAGGCTCTCAAGTAAGCTTAGGAGACTCTGCAATCCTGTTTCCTCTTTACCATTTCGATGTAAGTCATCATGCCGATGTTTTCAGAAAAAAAGAATATAGGGTAATATTCATATGTGCATGGTATACTTTACTAGATTCTAGTACTACAAGCAATTTTAATTCAACAGATTATAAGTAGCATATGAATTTATGAATATGAGTTTTTTGCCAATTATTAATCTGCCGCTGTCCATGAGTATGTATGCTGTAGCAAAACTGTCTGTTGAATCACAATTATTTAGAGAAAGATAATTAGTTTTTGGTTTAATTTTTTCCAGCTGAAAGCAGAGTTAGGACATATTTTGGAGAAGAGTGATGTTGTGCAAGACATGAAGGAACGATGGAATTTGCACAAATATAAAATGCTGTCTGCTATTAAAAAGACAAAGCAAAAGAATTTCAGCAGTATCCTTGAAGAGCTAGAGGATTGTCCAGTTGAAGATGAGAAAGGTTGGTGTAAAAATCAATAAGATAAAATCCCTATTTATACTGAAGTGTTAATGCTTTAGAGAGTGATAATGGTGGTATATTCATTCTATGCTATGTTGATTATTTTAGAGGTCAAGAACCGGTGTATAATGGCATGTTTGCCTTATGTGTTAGATGACCAATGCACCCATCGAGATATGAACAAAAAGCTATTTTGGGACATTGTTGATGTAAGAGTTGATATTGTCACAAATATTTTCCTGCATAAATGTGTGAAAAAATTGATAAATACTTTTATCTCTGTTGAAGAGTAAAAGCTTGGGGGAAGTTCAAGAGATCATTAACAAAAGTTCGTCTCCTAGACTCCTATCAACAGGAACATTAAGAAACATTCATTCAATAATGTTGGTGGCTGAGAGGATGATTGTGGCAAAGCGGAAAACGGAAAATATGATCAACGCAGTTATTAATTTACTTAGTTCTTTTCATACTTTTAATGCTGAGTATCCTAAAGGCGTTAATGGACATTGCAAAAATGTATTTATTCTTTTAGAAAATTTGCTTTTACATTCAAAATGCAATTGTAAGGCTCAATTGCCAACTTTTGTCGATCATTTTATTTCTTCTATGAAGTAGAAAACTTTTGTAGTGTTAATTAATGGCATGTAGTAGAGATTTTAAGTATTCTGTGTTTGCAAAAAATGTGCTATTTATAATTGTGTGATTGATTTTCTTTAGCTTAGTTAAAAAGATCCTCTATATTGGTCAAATGGTCATGGATATGCACCTGAAAAAAATGCTTATTTAATGGTAAAAACAACCAAATAAAATTGGTCAAATAAAGTGGTAAATTTAACCATTTTCCTTTTTGGTATTTTTGACCAATTTAGGAATTGGTTGTTTTAACCTATAAAAATTATTCTTCTCAGGTGAATTCAAATGACCAATTTTTTTGGTCATTTTGACCAATCTATTTTTACTGTGTAGAACATTGGATTCCAGGGTTAGAAAATTACTTGATCATAAAACTAAATGGCATTTTCAAATCTTGAAAAAGTTTGACGTAAAATAATATTAAATATATAATTTTATTTTGACTATGTTGATTAAATCTACTTCTTTCAGTAGCTAAATAATTGCAGGCTACCAACATGTATGAATTGCGTGCCAATTTTTTTAAATGTATGCCATTGTATTTAATAAACGCAGTGTTTTGGGAGATGTACCCAAAAGCCAAGAAATGGAAAGAAACGTGAATATTCATGATAACTACGATAAATAATGTTATGACAAATGTCTTCACTTGGCCCCAAATGTGGACACTGTTTTTTTCCAAACCAAAACGAAATGGGAGGGAAAACCGGCGGATCCGGTAAAAAACCCTCCAATAACAGAAAAAATAAAAATTTAGAAGAATTGCCTCAAATTTTTGTAGTGTTTTATGATGTTTTATATTTTCGTTGTTTTCAATGATCCCGATGATCTACTTTAGCATGCAGCGTAGTCAGATCGTGCGTCTTATACAGTCGTATAAAAAATTTAAATTTACGGAGCAATAAAAATGTAGGCTGACTACCCTATTGACACAGCAAATATTTTTTGTTCGTACAAAAGAAACGCAAACTTTTGTAGAGCACAAAATATGAAATAGTGCAGAGTGTTAACAAAAATTGTAATCAATAGACAAAAAACGAAAACTAATAGCAGCCATATATAAATCATGTATAAAAATTATTCAGTACGTAGGACCTGACCATTCACCTGCCCATAACAATTAAAAATGAAACGACTAAAGAGACGTTATGACTTGCATAAAAATAATTTTTGATGTCTGCTAGACTTTATTCCATTGAAATTTTCTATGTTGCCTCATTAATTAATAGCTGGCTTTCACTCGTGTGTTTTGTCAGAAAATTTAACAATTGTGAACATTTAGTTATACGGAAATTTTTAACGGTCGAATTTGAAAAAAGCGTTATACTGATAGACATTATGGATAAATAAATTAGCAAGTGTGAATCTTATAATAACGACGTTTGTTTCTTGGTGTTTCTGCCCGACTTCATCCTTCATTCATTGTCCAGTTAGAAGGCCTACAGACATAGCTACTCTATAAAAAACACGTTATAAATGTCAGCATTATGAAGGAACAAAAACAGAAATTAATTATATTGAAAAGAACAAAACTTTAATACCTGATTTCCAAGGGTTGTCCTGGTCAGTTTGATCCAGGCGACTTGGTCGGTCTCTTCTTTTTTTTCACCGCGTAGTTTTTACGTTGTATCGTTGAAATTAATTGTAAAATTTTTATCGTAGTAATTCAATAAACCCTATTTGCATTATTGCAATTTTCTTAATTAACGTTAAATAAATTACTAAAAAGTAGCGAGTGAAAGCCAGCTATTTTCTCACAGCAAGTGACATCTTTTAATGACACTTTTGTAAGTTGGGTGTTTTTCATGGTTAAGTTTCAAATTATAAAGATAGACCATCAGGATCCTTTTTAACTATCTCATGCAGTTACTCATACAAGTTAATTTTAACACTTATATCTACTCAACTTACAAACCACAAGATATAGATCGTGTTTTTCCACTCGCTTGTTTTCCATCTTCGTAGAATGTAGTCCATTTTTATAGTGCAGTCACTTCAGTGTAAATGTTCATACGTACATATGCCATTATGCAATGTCCATTCAACATGTCGATACCATTCCATACACGAAGTAAGCAGCATCATCAACCAATAAAGAAGCTACTGATATTATGAATCGCTATTTCGATAGACTACAATTCACAATGCACTGTTATGGTAACTTCAAGCGAAGGAAAAGGGACCGCCCTTCAATAACCTAGTTTTATCATTACTCAAAGAATGCTTAGTGCAGAGTTGATCTTCTGTAAGTATCATTTGACCACCTTTTGGTGGGTTCTTATAACAATGGGGCCCATCATCATTATATGAACAAACAACTGACATCAACAAAGAATCCAAACTACAAATGAACATTCTTGGCCATGAATCACCATGACACATGAGTAATGACAAACTAGTAAGAGTAATTGAAGTGAATGACACAGGTGGTAAAGGGGATTTCACAACTCCATTCTTGTGGGATCTACAATATAAGAAAATATGAAACACATGTATGAGATTTCATGATGAATAACTCTGCATATGACGTTAGTTTGCGTTTTAAATTCTTAATCAGATATATTGAGAATGAGCAAATTGTTATATGTTTTCTGTTTGACTATTTAAACGGTAGAACATTCACCTTCATTGCACGAATAGCTTTAGTGAGTTGAGTTTGAACGATGTAACAAGTTTCACACGATCAAAGGCTTATAATCGTGATGAAAGCATTTTACAGTGAAAGCTTTCAGATTACGAGGCCTACACTAAGACCAGTTCATTATTCCATGTAACTCATACTTCAGTATTCGTCAGTAAAAGACAGAATTTACCTTTCTTCCTACAACGTTAAAGTGAGTAATTTTTGTTGTTAAAACACACGAATTTAAACATGTTAACGTTTCTTTAATTGACGTCATAACTAAAATTATTATTGTGATTGGCTCCTTAGGAGCATGTCACCTTTCACAAAGACAACAAGTAATCCTTCAATGCGTTTTAAGGCCTGTTTGCATTTTACATGTGCGAATGTATTTAAGACAAAAGATAATAAGAATTTTATCTCATTATGTTTTGTTTTAAATGCATTTAAAACAAAAGAGATAAAAGATTGAAATTACTTATTATCTTTTGTCTGAAATGACATTCATCACAATAATAATTTTAGTTATGACGTCAATTAAAGAAACGTTAACATGTTTAAATTCGTGTGTTTTACTTCAACAGAAAATTCAGAGTCAAATGACTACAGCTAAGGTTGTTGAAAGTTAAATATTCGCTGTGCAAATTATTTACCATCCAGTCATAGTGGACTTTGCTCTAAGAAACTTGACAATTTACAAGGTGTAAATACTGTGAAATCAACTCTAAAATCTCGCAAAAAACTTTTTCTCAATGACCAATGAACGAAAACGGTCACTTTCAATTTTGTGTTGGAAATGGGCTCTTGGTAGATAAATGAAAAATGTGCCACAGGAAAACAAATAGTAAAATATCTTCGCAAAGTGAAAGTTTTAATGAGAAAAACATTTTATTTTATCATTATGAAAATGTTATCTATGTTCTTTTCACATGCTTTCCTTGACTTTGAAAAATGTTCAAAAAACAATAATTTTACATGGGTAAAAAAAAAAATTGTTCCCGTGAGATGAAACGTAACATGTAAAATTTACCTTCCATCTTTACTAAATGATGTTTGTCGAACGGCTGCTGTACATTTAGGATGAGAGAGAACTTTCTGCCTGCCTGGGAATTAAACAAATAAAATTGCATTAAGATGATGTATGTTGTTAACATTGAACATGGAACGCTACCTGAAGCAAATAATTAAAGCCAAATCTTACATCCAGACACGCGAGATTACACCCAGACACGCGCGTTTAGTGTTTCGAGATTCTCTCGCGGAGTGAAAATTGATTGACTACACATGTCACCTGGAGTCCTCGTCATCACCAGGACCATCAACTTGAGACATACGTAAAGGTGGTTTCCAGTCCACTTCCTCTTCATCCTCCGAACTGCAAGTGAAGAAGACAGCTACTCAAAACTTTAGAGAAGATTGATTGTTTTTCATTTAAGATGTTTATAGTGTTTGCACACTATTATGAAAAGCAAGGAGACCTTTGAGAGAACTCGATCAGTGATGACCAGAGTCAAAGGCTTGCACCTGCTCCAAAGTTCTCACAAACGTCTCCGAGGTTTGCATAAGCCTGTGTAAACACGAAAAACATTTTTTCTTTCTTTTATAAAACAACGATAATACAAAACAGACAAATTTAAAACAAATGTTTTCATTTTTCCTGTAACATGTATTCATGATTGATTTGGAAATTCTCTTTGATTGATTTTAATTGATTGAGCTCAGATAGCTTCGCTCATGCCAAGTTTGCTAATGTTAACTCAACTATAGACAAATCAACGCACGCATTTTTCTGTCTTTATTTTATAAACAAAAATGGATACTTTTACCTTTGGGAATCATGTTCCTCTTCATCATCTTTCCAAAATGGCTGTGACATTAATATTGATTCTTTATCTTCATCAATATCTTCATCATGTTCATCATTACTACCTTCTCAATAAACAATAAAATAAAAAAGATTGATTGAAAAATTTCATATCAGACAAATTTTACTAAACACAAATGAAACTGTACACAATCACCATTGATATCCATGTCTAATCATACCAGTGTGCGAATTAGCGGTGTGCAATGTGCAATTAGCGGTGTGCAATGCACATCGTTTTAGCTAAAATGAAAACAATTGCACATCACTTTTTCAAACGATATGCAAAAAACTTTATTATTGATTACTACCACATAAATTGAAAAAAGTTTTCAAGCTTAATCTTTACTGATCTTTACTTTATAAACGAGTGCGCTGCACGACATTAAAATCCATGTTGACACAATGTCATCAAATTTAAAGACGTTGTCACTGAGACTGGGAAGTCTGTCAACAGTCAACATACATGGTGCTTATATGCTTATGACAATAGGGGTGTAATACATTATTAATGTCAATTTTTGCATTTGCGTTGTTTTGTAAACCGTTACGTACTGTTTTGGCATCATAGCTATTTTGAGTATTTTCAGTAAAATCAGGAAACATTTTGATTTTGATTCTTAAAAGAAGACAAAAAAAAACTTAAATAAGCCAAATTTGAAAAATAAACCAAAGGGAATTTCGATTTTAAATAAGCCTAACGTGAGAAAAAGAAACGAAATTTGGCTCAAAATATTAAGCCAAACTGGCAACCTTGAACAAATATGATGTTTTTTATCGTAAGCAAACATCAAGGATGTTACTGTTAATAATCAGAAAGCAAAAGTATATTCGGTTATTCTCTTTTCACTTTTGCACAAAAAAGAGAAGAGAATAACATGCGCAAAAAATTTCTCTCATACATTTGTAACTGGCTCAGCGGTTTTAACGAAAAACACTGTCGTAAATCAAATGAATTTGTGCACGTTTAAAAATATTAATTTAGTAATTAGCGCTGTATAACAATTAACGTAATATCGATTTCATTATGCCTCTAAAGAAACACTTTTGTCAAAAAAATTGCACATCGTTTTTTCTCAACAAATTCGCACACTGAATACGATCTAACGACAAAAAAGTTGAATTTTTACCTACGTATTGTTAACTGTTAAGTAAAAGAAAATTAATAAAGGAGCAGTTGTACACATCTTCATGTAACGATGACAATGTTTAAACTTAAGAAAACATGAAATTTTATGCACTAGAAAACAGCTGCATTTTGGGATATATAAGTCAGAGCCTCATAAATCATTACTGTGAGATATACAATGATGTGACATGTATTTTTTTGTACCTTAACTTGTGAAACAGGAAGAGCAAATTGTGAAGATAGTCCAATATCTCGTCTTCGTTGTCTTTCATCTTCCCACATAGCAGTTATACCAGGATTATGACCAATACAACCTTCATAAACATAATAAACACATTAAAGATGTATAAACAGTAAAATGAAGACATAAAGATAAGTAAATTTTACTTTCAACATTTATTTGATTCAAGATGTCTTCAGCAATTACATCAACTTCAAGTTCACAACGACTGACTTTTTTCACAGTAGGATCCAGGCATAAATTTCTAAATAATGACAAATAACAAACATTAAAATGATGAATATCAACTGTAAAGATAGTTATCACAAAGAATTATTTCAAAGTTAAACTAATTTTTTAATGTAAATTCTGTCATCTGGATTGAGCATTGACTCTAAATCTTGGGATAAATCATACGCACATGTGTCAAATTTAGGATTAAGGATTTACACAAATCCTTTTGGTTTCAATTAATCTTCAAGTGTAAAATATATGAATCAGACAAACCTAGGAATAGTGTCTTCATTCCAGTGTTGAGATGAAGGAAAATTGAGAAATGAATTTGGAGATGAACCATGAAGTGGAATTGATTTATTATTATATGAAAGATTTTTATCTATAAAATTCAATTTGATGGTAAATAATCATTTGTGGTGTTAGATTTTTATAGAATGCTGAAAAAATCAATAATGAAACTTTCCTGTTTTTGAAGAAATTCCTCTAAAATGAACTTTTCTTACATGAAGTAAGTTCATACCATAAAGATTGTAATCAATTAGAAACTAAAATAAACGATATTTCAATATAATTCTTATAATGTAACTTAGTGAAAATCTATAGAAGTTGACCATCCAGGTAGGAAAAGACTAAAGAAGGTCAGTGGCATTAGTGTTGAATGACATTTTAACATTGTTACCAGTAATCATCTCATCTAGATGTGAAAACATCAATCAAGACTACCCCAACAGTCCTTCTCAATACTGTAGTATCCTTTATGATCAACATCAACAAACATGCAGCTATACTTCCACAATGTGTTCAAACCATTCACTTTATTGACAAAATGTTTTGCACATGAAATTTACAGCTATAATCCATAATGGAATGTTTTATTGGGCACCTGAGATCTGATGTATAATTATAGCAAAGTGGGCACCTATACATGCAAATGTTGCATCTCTGATGTTAGAAAAGTCAGCCCATTTTTTACTCCTATGTACAATACAAATATTGCTTTAATCAATTACTTTGAAAAACAATGAATGAGATTAATTTCTAAAGAAATAAACAACAAACTTTGCAGGCCTTGCCCCCTGTCTGGTGCACAGTTTACAAACTAACCACTCCAGTCTGGGTTATAACAATCAAAGATGTGTTTTTCCTCATTAATAATAAAAAACAATAATTACCTGTAGAATATAAGGAACATGAGCTTCGTGTGGTTGAAATGACTTGTTCAATATAGCTCCATTCTGAAGAAGATCAACAAGTCTGAAAAAATGAAAAATTTTGATGTCGTTTTATGTTAGAACAACATGAAAAATATATCTTACTTGGGAATTATTCTTGGATTGTACAACTCCATCTTAATAAACTCTTCTTCGTTCTCATGATAACCATAAAATGGTCTAAAAATAAAATCATTTTGGGTGAATAATATTGAAACGTTATTGGGTCGAAAATGGAAGATTTTGTATTGTGATGTAAAGAGAGTAAAAAGATTTAATAATAGTAAGCTTTGTCAACATGAGGAGAAAACAAGGAAAATAACTTACATTTTTTTAACAATTTCAGTTTTATGAACATATTTCATAGAAGATGATGTTCTACCAAACGCAACTTGAACAGCAAAGTCTACACTTGTCGTAAATTGTTTCAGATATTTATCTGTGGGTTTAGTTCCATCGTAAGGTATGTATAAGTAAGGAAATACTTGATGAATATGAACACAAGTTTTCTGTCCACCAGGAGTTGAGCCAAATATCCTCAAAACTGGAACACGGTTAACATTCGCCTCATGAAATTTAGAAAACAAAATATCTAAGCCATCTATAGGTTTTCCCACGTAAAATCTGCATCTACAATCCTAACAGAAAACATTCTGTTGTTCCAAGTAAGAAAATACATCGTCAATTAAAATTTTTGAAAGACGAAAGACGAGAGTTGAATCCGCCATATTTGTTTTAGATTATAGATTAGCCAATCAAAGATTTTATAATCAAACCTTTATACCAAGTCATCGTAATCACCTTTTTGGGATTAGTTGGGATTTAGAAACTTTCCAAGGGTGAGCATGACTTTATAGACCTCGCTATAAAAACTCACGCCTTTGGTGTTAGAAAATATGCTCCCCAGAAGTTCATGTCTTTCTTCATGTCTAACTACGACACTGCATGTAAAGGATTTCCGCTTTCGTCGAGCAAAATAGTGTCCGCATCCTGATGTTTTTGGTCCCGTACACCCATGTCAATACTGAAAATTAATATTTGCAGTAAAATTTCTAAGTCAATCCCTGTCGTGTATATTTCAATTATAGCTAAAATATAAAATTTGCTCATCTCATTTTATCGTCTCGCTGTTATGACCAGAATTCAATATTTTACAATAAAAACAGCAGGTGATTAAAATCAAGCATTTATTGAACATTCCAATTTCTTTATTATCAAACAGAAGCAAGGGCATAACGTAGCTGGTTGCGTTTTCTCTAATCTTTCTAAATTTGTTAAGGTACGTTGATTATAAAGTTCACCTTTAAGAGTGTAATTGTTTGTTCTTATGTCTAGAATTTTGTTATATTTGTCATAAAAAACCTGAATGTCATTTTCGTGGTAGAATTCGCACTTCATATATTTTATATTGATACGTCTGTTGATTTTGGTGGGATTTTCCCAATAACACATTGTATAATTTATCATTTCAAAATACTGACCTTTCTTACATTATCACCAACAATTAATTTCACTTGTCTTTTAAAATATCATTGGTACGGCAGGGCTAAAAATCAACAAAATGAATCAAAATCATGACACGTCACAGAATTTAAGTTATGCATATCATTATGTGCAATATTTTTAATTTTATCTAACATGGCTTTTATCAAGAAGAATTTTTTCCTCATTCATATAGTCATCTATCTATTTATCTTATTCATAACACAGATGATGACATAAAAACGTTTTGCTAGGTACGTCTTTAGAAATTGCGCCTTCTTGGAGTGAAAAGCTCACTTCTTCACCTGATAGTACACGTGATTTGTTTTGGTCTATAATTGTTCAACTTGTAGTAAGATAGACTATTTAAAATATTTGTTTGCGTCCAAAGTTCACAAAATGACAATACTTTGCATGATGAACTGTCAAGTCCAAACGCCATCAATTTTGAAGTATCTCTGATTACTGTGATGTGGCAAAATTATTCTAAATTAGACACTTTGAGATTAATTACTCTGAAATTCAATTTTTAAATAAAGACTGCCCCAAAAATCGTGAGCCCCCCAACTTTTACTTGCTTCTCACGCCCCGGATCAAATTATTTGTTTATCCGTATCAAAAGTTTACAAAACGACAAAACTTCATTGACAACGTTTGAAAGTTGGAACGCTGAAAATTTCAGAGAAGCTCTGTTTATTGATTTTCTTAACTTCCTAAATTATAAATCTTTAATTTTTGAGCTATCTTACTTATAAAAGGCTGGCTGCCTGTCTTCCTTTATGATTATTTCAGTTAGTTTGCATGTAAGTCCGGATGTTCAATAATTGAAATAAATAATAGTAAAGTGTTAAAGTCAAAATGACTCTGAAGATGACTACCGCTAAGGTTGTCGAAACGTCAGTCAACAACGACAAAAACAGTCCTTCTCAGGACTATACCAACCTGGACGATCTACATTTACAAACATGGAACGATACTCCCGGGTTCAAACCATTTACTTTATTGTGAAAGGTTTATTGGCATAAAGCTTCCAAGTCAAAACTTCTTTGTCTTTACTTCAGTAATAGCTAAAATAAAAAATTTGGATTTCATATTTAATTGGGTATGAACAGAATTCAATATTTTGCAATAAAAAAAGCAGGTGATAAAAATTAAACACTTATTGAACATTCCAATTTCTTTATTATCAAACAGAAGCAAAGACATCACGTAGCTGGTTGCGTCTTCTCTAATCTTTCTAAGTTTGTTAAGGTATGTTGATTATAAAGTTCACCTATCAGAGTGTAATTGTTTGTTCTTATGTCTAGAATTTTGTTATATTTTTCATAAAAAACCTGAATGTCATTTTCGTGGTGGAATTCGCGCTTCATATGTTCTATATTGATACCTCTGTTGATTTTGGTGGGATTTTCTCAATAACACATTGGATTATTTATCTATTTAAAATACTGACCTTTCTTGCAATATCACTAACAATTAATTTCGCTAGTCTTTTCAAATATCATTGGTACGGCAGGGCTAAAAAATCAACAAGATGAATCAAAATTATGACACGTCACAGAATTTCAGTTATGCATATCATAAATGCGGAATGATTTTAATTTTATCTAACATGGCTTTTATCAAGAAGAATTTTTTTCCTTTTTTATACAGTCATCTATCTCTTTATCTTATTCGTAACACAGATGATGACATAAAAACGTTTTGCTAGGTATGTCTTTAAAATTGCGCCTACTTGGAGTGTAAAGCTCACTTCTTCACGTGATAGTACACGTGACTTTTTTCTGGTCTATATTTGTTCAACTTGTTGTAAGATAGAATATTTAAAATATTTGTTTTCGTCAAAAGTTCACAAAATGATAAAACTTTGCATGATGAACTGTCAAGTCCAAACGTTGTCAGTTTTGTAGTATCTATGATTACTGAGTTGTGACAAAATTATTCTAAATTAGAGACTTCGAGATTAATTACTGTCATATTCCCTTCTTAAATAACGATTGCCCCTAAAATCTTGAGCCCCCCAACTTTTACTTGCTTCTCACGCCCCTGATCAAATTATTTGTTTATCCGTATCAAAAGTTTACAAAATGAAACTTCTTTGACCACGTTTCAAAGTTGGAACGCTGACAATTTCAGAAAAGCTCTGTTTATCGAATTTCTTAACTTCCTAAATTATAAATCTTTAATTTTTGAGCTATCTTACTTGTAAAAGCCCGGCTGCTTATCTTCCTTTATGATTATTTCAGTTAGTTTGCATGTAAGTCAGGATGTTCAATAATTGAAATAAATTATAGTAAATTGTGAAAGGTTTATTGGCATAAAGCTTCCAAGACAAAACGTCTTTGTGTTTACTTCAGTCATAGCTAAAATAAAAAATTTGCATTTCATATTTTATTGGGTATGAACAGAATTCAATATTTTACAATAAAAACAGCAGGTGATTAAAATCAAGCATTTATTTAACATTCCAATTTCTTTATTATCAAGCAAAAGCAAACACATCATGTAGTTGATTTGAAGAAGGTATGTTGATTTTAAAGTTTACTCCCTTTATGTAATTGTGTATTTTAACCTTCTGATTTAATGTTTTGTGTACATGTATCAATTGTTTTGTTTTCATGTCACGAATATTAAAGTTAAATATTACTTATAAATTACTTCCTCGCCACGTATGTTTTATATGGATAACAATTCTTATGTGATTTTCAAACACAGATAAATTTTGAATGATTTACACTGTGAAAATACCGACTTTTCCCACATTAATACCAATTAAACAAGATATATTTACAACATTAGTGTTTAGTGCAAATGCTATCGTTGTATTTTTGATTTATATAACTATGAAATGATCAATTGTCAAAGATTTTCATGATAAATTTATGTGCCCTGTGCATAGAAATTTCAATTCAACCGAAGATGACTTTCATTGAAATACTATAGTTAATCAATCTGCTGTATTTTTCGGAAACAAATTCTACAGTTATTTAAATTGAATAACAACTATCGCTCTTATCTGTTTAAATAACACGTCGACGCTTGCTGGTAAAATTATAAAAGAGTGTAATTAAAACTAACAACTTGCCCTCCCAGTGTCAACAAGACCATGTAATAAACTGAACTATATACATATCTTTTAACTATTGAATATCTCTTCTCGCAAACTATCAACACTCCCACTTGATGGTTGTGCGAGAAATTTCGTCTTTAAACTAAATAAACATTTAATAGAGTTCTAAACTTTTCGAATGTTGGCTTGAGCAATGCCATTATGCCAGTGATCATCCTTTCGGTTGGACAATATTCCACTTTAATTTCCTTTGACGAAATCCTTTCACGAATAAACTGATGACATATATCGATATGTTTAGTACGTTTGTAGTGGCTTGGGTTTTTGGTTAACTCTAGCGCACCTTGGTTATCTTCAAAAATAATGATGGGTGTCTTTGTGTTTAATCTCAAATCGCTCAATACATTCTCAACCAAATCGCTTCTTGCGTTGCTATAGACAATGCAACATATTCCGCCTCAGTAAAAGATTTGGCAACGGTAGCTTGCTTCTTACTTGACCAACTCACTGTGTTTCCTCCAAGTTTAAAAACGTGATCTAAAGTAGATCTTCTCGAATCTATATCTCCCGCCCAATCGGAGTCTGAAAATCCAACTAATTTGGGGTCATCATCAGCGGTATCCTTCAGTCCATAATTTAACGTTCCTTTTAGATAACAAAGAACACGCTTCACCTCGATCCAATGATCATTGCTTGGTTTTGCCTTGTATTTAGATAGGACATTTACAGCTGCTCTGATATCGGGACGGGTAATTACTGATAAATATGTTAAGCATCCTATAGCTTGTTGATATGTCTGCACATCAACAAACCTTCTTGTTTTCTTGCACTTCATGAAATTTCTTGCCATTTTTCATCGGTGTGGACATCAGTTTGCACGATTTCATACCAAATCTTGTCAACATCTTTTCCATATAATTTCGTTGACTTATTGTTATTGTTTTCGCCTTGTGATCACGATTGATCAGCATTCCCAATAAGAAGTGAACTTCTCCACGATCATCTATCCTGAATTCTTGGCATAGTGCTTGTTTTTCTGCATTAAGCATCTCGACATCGTAGGACACTGGCAATATATCGTCGACGTAAACTCCTAGAAT